CATGCTCAAAAGCTTGTCTTTTTTCTATGCTGCATCTGTAGGACTAATAAGGGGTACTCCTTTTCCCTGTGAATGTAGTCTTCTGTTAGGGCAGTCTAATGGTCTCAGGTATATTTCACTGGGATGAGGTAAAAATAAAAACACTTTGTTTTTTAATCCTTAGCTGTTAAATTACGAATGGCTGCTTGATATAAAATTTAATTTCAATGAATCAATGTTAAGTGAAATGATTAGTAATGCAAATGATTAAAAATATTAATTCTTATTTTGAAAACATTTTTAACAATATAATCATTTTCTGATGCATCACAGAAATATTTGAATGATAATCACAAATAAGGAACAGAAATTAAACTAAAAAGGTGGGGGAATACATAACCAATTTCAGACATGAATTTGCTTATTTTGTTTGTGTGAATGTGCACGTGTACAATAAATAAATGTTATATATACCCTAAATATACATGCATTAACTTTGCTCTGGATTATTCAGTATCCTCAGTGTTTTTTTGTGTTGACTTCTTTATCTTGATGCATAAGATTTCTATCAATATTTAATTTTGAATTTACCACCTATATGAATTAATTGGATTAAATAGAGTCAGAGCACAGAAGTTCAGTTGATTTATTTTCATTTGCATAGTTTGCAGTTTTGTTCTCCTTGCATCAAGGGTAAGAATTTTGTTCCACATTTATTTTTCGTATGCTGTGCTCTGCTTTCAGCATTGTGCTCACACACCTCGTAAGCTGCTTATTTAGCTACGGCAGCTGAGTACAGCACTGCCTTTCTTCAGGAGCTTCAACATTCCAACTACAGACTCCTTTCTGCTGGTGGGTCATCACCAGTGCTAATTGTGTAGTGATTGTCTCCAGGTAGCAAATCTGTACTGTTACTATCAGTCAGTTATACTGTGTGTGCGTGCTTGCAGCTGCTTCATGCATGTGTTGTCTATATGGAGACAAAATGGAAGTAAGTTCACTTCTAATAATTCCAGGTAAGCTTTGAAAGGTTTGATGTATTTTCCTTTTGCTAAACATATGTAGATCTTACTTTCTGATTATAAGCAGTACATCCAGTGTACGAATAATAGTGCTCTGTATTATGTTTTCCTTTTTTTATATCCACCTGCAATCTACTTACACGCTTGCTGGAGTTCAGAGAAATCTTTGCATTGATTTCAAAGTGAGTAGAATTATGTCCTTGAGTGCAAAATTTTTGTCAGGGAGTGAATCATCTTGTGTTCTTTTGTGAAGTGTTATGTTTCTGTAAAAGTTATAAATTGCACAGAATGCCTAATCCCTGGCTTCTCTAAATGCCCTTCAGTTAGCGTGACCAATTTATGTGCTGTTTTTGCCAGACCAGTGAATTGCCCCCACCTCACCCTGTCCCACTGTGACCCTCTACACAAATAGTGTTGACGAATACCGTCATGTTGCCTGTTCTTCTGTGTGACGATAAGGTGTTTTTCACCCTAATGCAGTATAACTGGGTGGGAAACTGTGTTGAAATTACTAGTACAGAAGGTACAAAACGTCTGTCTCCTTAGCAACCTGGGCTACTGCATGTGCATAAACAGCCTATGCTGAAGTGAAGTACTTGACGCTTGTTCCTACGACATTCACTGCCAAATCTCAAGATTAAATACATCTTCCCAAAACATCAGGGGATGTAATCTGCCTTTTCTCTTTGACTTTTACCAGGATAGGGGGATTTTACTGGATACAAAACAGGTGCAGATGTGATGATGTCATTACATAAGGTTGAGAAAGAAGTATCAGGTTCTTCAGTTTCAGATAATTTCTTCTGGTCTCTCTGCCTTCAGGTCCCACTGTGCAGAGCAGGAATCAGTAAAGCTTTAGAAGCTGGGAGGCTGTTTTAGCTACAGAATTCTGACTGAAAAGAGGAGATATTCCCAAAAATAAGTATCTCTGACTTCTCTGTAGGGACAGGAACATAATAAAAGATGAATCAGTGGGAATTTTTTTTAGCTAGCTTTCAGAGATTTTTGCTCTGCAGGGAGTTCCTGTGGTTTTCAGTGGAAGACAGAACTGGGGCACTCCCAAGGACTTAGCTTGTAAACTATGGCTGAGAGAGTTATATCTTTAAATTTTGAGGCAGAGTTGTCTGCTAGCCAAACTATAAAGGTAATTGTCTATAAATACTGATCATCAAGGAAAAAGCTGTAGTCAGATTTTTGCTTTGAAAATTAAAATTAGTGCTACTTACAGGTGCTTGTATTGGTGGTGCATAAGATGGTAAGATTCTAATAAGTTCCACTGAAATTTAAAGCTTGTTCCGAACCAAAGCGGTCACTACAGTCATGTACGTGCCACATACACAGTGTCAGAAAAGCAGCTCATTTTGTGCGTTTTCTCTAAAGCTGATCTCACTTCTAAAATACACTTGGTAATAAGGTCTGTTGTTGAATTTTTGGAAATGAAGAGAATGCAGATTAAGGGGAATATTTTTCTAAAAGAATCACTTCAGGCTCTGATGAGGAATGGAGGACAAACTGACAGCATTTAATTCCCATGGGTAAGAGTGCAAGTATTGTAGTTCCATATGCTGTATTTCCCAAATTTGTAGCTGTTAGTGGTGGAATATAGTGCATCTAGAGATGCTTTGTTCATTCCTCTCTCTTTGCTTGGTAGGTAACGCATTGTAAAGCTGAGAGAAGCTCAAAGTTTGTGTTTTTTTTGTTTGTTTTTAACCAATAGTGCTGGTATACCATTCCTTCACCAGCAAGTTGTGCCATTGGTCTGTAGTTAGAAGCTATTTAGATGTACTTATATAAAGTAACAAGTGATGGTGTCTTAAATGTGGAAAAGCTCAGCTGTTCTTTTGCTTTTGCTGCTGATGCAGGGTGACCTTGAGCAGGTGCTTCTTCCCTTGAAAGTGAAAATATATTGCTCTGCTTCATAAAGTTGGAGAACAAATAGCCAAATGTTTGCAAAAGACTCAGCACAACAGTGAGAACCTGGCAACTTTTGGAATAGTCACTGTTAGGAGGTGGGCTTTAAGCAGCCTTTCAACCAAGCAGATAAATATTTTTCTTATATAAAGAAGGAAGGAGACCACAGCGTGTTGTATTAATCTACTACAGATAAGCCACTTCCAGCTTCCTCTGAGTCATGGCCTTGGAAGATGACTTGCATGTTTATTTGTTTGTTTTTAATTGAAAAAAACTATGCACGAGTACACAGGTATTTTGGAAACTATCTAAAAAATCCAAACATAATAAGGAAAAACAACTTCTGAGGAAAACTGCACTTGGGGGTAATACCAGCTGATGCCAAGTATGGCCTTAGAACAAATCATCTGGTGATGGTTCTTCATACTGACTTACATGCCTTTACAAGAAACTTCAATTCTTTCCTTCTCTTTAAGATTCAGTATAATTAAATGTAATTATCCTATAGGCTTCTGAAATAAAAGTGATGATTTAAAGCTGTATGAGTTGCATAGAATCTGTCTACTGCATCTTTTTCAAGAGATGAGGAATCTCTAGAATGAGAGCAGGTTATAATGAATTCTTTAAAGAACCAGGAAATATGTTAGAGTTTTCATTCTAGATGTTCTGTTGGGAGGGGAGAAAAAAAAAAAGAAAAAAAAGGAATTAACTAGTGACTGCCTTCTTAAATCACATACATTTCTGCAGTATTCTAGATCATATGTGTAACACCTCTATTTTCTGATAAAGTACATGATGGGGTTATGAATTCTAGAGTTAGATCATATGCACCTGTTGAATAGAACAAGGTTCGTGTCTGTGAGGTGAGATTCTGGAGAAAAAAGATGTATTTGAGAGGTTGTACTGAAATCAGGATCTTCTACAGGAAAGGTTTCCTTACATCAGGCTGCCTGCCAGCGGCAACCCAGGATACTGACTTGCAGGTTGGCACTTCTGCAAAGCAGTGCCCTAAACTGAAGCCTTAACACAAAGCTTGCAAGTAAAACTGATAGTATTACTTGGAAGTAAGAAATAAATAAATAATCTCCTACAGGAACAGCAACCCTGAGAAATGCTATCAGAAGTTTCTGTTTAAGTACAAATTAGTAACAACAATTAGAACTTGGAAAAAAGCACAGAAGTACATAATGGAGTATGTAGGGATCTGCAGTTGGTGTAATTGTTGAGATTTAAGAATACAAACTTGAGCCAGAATAAAAAGCCAATGAACTGACATTTTCACTGTTGCAAAGATAAATCTAAATTTAAACAGTACTCTGAATCTCATGTCTAATGAATGTCACGTTTCCAGCTTGTGTCTAATAGTTAGTTTATGATTAGAATGCAAACAATGAGGTAACTGGAAGTGTACATCGGGTTTATGATTCAAAACTCTGCTGATGTCCAAAGTAAGATTTCTCTTAACTTCAACTTGTCTTAGGATACATGGCATGCTAAGGTTGTTTTTTTTTTTTTTTTTTTTTTTTAATTATTATTACTTGAACTTAGTGGAGATTAACTAAAATTTAAAAATATATATTTATTTTAAAAGGCAGAAATAAATATGGGAATATTTTTATCTATATATTCTTATATTCTTATCTAAAAAGTAACTGTGCAAATCTGTCTTTCCTCATGAGTAGTCATAGAAGTTGATAAGAATAACATCAAATGGATTATGTGCCTTCCTTCGTGATGGTTGTTGTAGGAAGTGTGTTGAAGAACAGAACTTAATAAAGCAATGTTCTTTATATAGATATATGAAGCATTCCATGGAGCTTAATTTAAAAAACAAACAAACAAAAAAACCACAACAGATTTTTTTAAAAATAATAATATTTAAAAAAATAACAATAAAGAGAAGTTGTCATTTACTGATAAATTTTGTGGGATATTTACCGACTGAGTTATGAGTTATATACCCAAGGATATGAATTTGAAAGCTAATCGGGATTTTAGGCATGACTCAAAAAAATACTTTTGTGTCACACTAGGATCGCCTGAATTGTGCATAATGTTAATGCATTGTTTTGTTTTGTTTTCTGATAGGTCATTGCTTGTGAACAGCAATATGACTACTCATATGATGCTCGATGTGACGTATGGTCTTTGGGAATAACAGCTATTGAACTCGGAGATGGAGACCCTCCTTTGTTTGACATGCATCCTGTGAAAACTCTTTTTAAAATTCCAAGGTATGACACTAGATGGCTCTCTTCACTCGCTAGTTTGTTCTGAAGCATTAGTCAAATGTGAAAGAAGTATTATGTAAACATTTATTTCAATCCTAAGAATTTATTATAGCAAAACACTTCAGAAAGGTGTACTGTTGTCTTTTCTTTTTAGCCTGGCTTCTTTAAAAAAAAAAAAAAAAAAAAAAAAAGAAAATTCTCCTTGAAATGATACACTGTTACATATTTATTTTATTCTCATCTTGAATGTAAAATCATGTAATATCTGGATACCTCCATTTAAATGTATTTTTTCTTAGCTACTATTGACAAAAACCCTTTGTTTCAAAAAAGGAAGAAGCCAACACTTGAAACTGTTAAATAACGTTTTCCGATGTTATTCCTGTAGTCCTAGGCCACTTTTACTGTGGAAGAAAAATAGACAATTTTGACAGTGTTATGATACAGTTTCAGTAAACAATAGTTGTCATTTAGTTTTTCATTTACTTGAGGATGTTAAGATATGTCAATCCAGAGCTTTGCATTTGGAAATGAAAAGGAAATAGAAATTACTTCTACTTAACTGTGGAATTAACTGTATTACTTCATGCTGACTATTTTTGGTTTCATTTTGTTTTCATTTCATTGATGCTTCTTGAATCTGTTGAGACTGACAGTGTAAAATAGGGTTTAACAGCAAAACAGTTGTAATAATAGGAGAAATATATCCAGAACTTGTACGGCATTGATTACAGAATGGTGTATATTTGTCTTTTCAACATTTGGTTCATAAAAAAGGAATCGCCACTGGCTGATAACAATTTAAAACATTCATCTATACAAGAGTTTGACCTTTTCTTATCTGCTCACTTATCATAGGCTTTTACAATTTCTTCTGATTGCAATTTCCATTTCTGATTAAGTCTATTTATATGCAGATGCAGTTGTGCTAGGTTCTGCATCATATAGTTATCTCCTTCTCCCCAGCCCAGACGTGAACTGCCACTACTCTTTGGAAAATTATTCATACTGAAGCAGCAGTTCATCTTGTTGCCTTTGCACAAGCGTAAAACAGATCCTGGCAATTAGGGAAGCAAGAGAGGCTTCAGCATACTGGAGCAATATCTATAAATTTTATCAGTGCTCAAAACAGTTTGAGAGGACAGAAGTGACATCAACAGTACACACTAATAGCAGGCAATAGGATGATACAAAGAGTAAGTCATGTGGAGGCTTTGATTTCTGTGCATAGTTTTTCCCTTTCCATATTTGCTGTTGCATCTCTGTATGACTTAGCAAAACTAAGATAAAAATGTCTATTTTGATGAAATAAATAATGGGTGAATTTACTAAATAGAATTGTAGAATAGTGTTTGATAATGACTTTTGTGACTGTGCTCTGTGTTTTATGAGCTACTGCTGTACTTTACGACTGTTAACTGTATATTCGTATTAGTTGAGATAAGACTGCAGTAAATGCCACATGGCATAAGGTCCTAGAGTGTGGGGAATAGAGCTTCCCTCCTGGTAGTTGTTTGAGTAAATACAACCAAAAGATACATTTCTCTCTCATTGTGATTTGATAGTTTAGAAGTAATCTATTACATTGCAGCTATCAAAATTTTTCAACCGAAAATCATCTAAGCTTGGGGACCTGGCATCTTTTCATTTTCTGCTTTCATAATGTTTGTGTCTGAAGCTGTACATGCAAATGTTATCCTATTGATGATTTCATCAACCCAGAGTAGGTTTCTCATCTCTGAACCTATTCAATACAAATTTCTATCTGCTATAACATACAGTAGCAAGGAAGTCCACAGTTCAGCTCTATTTTATTTGAAGAATTCAGTCCTTTTATTTGTGTGCTACTCTCTAGTTCTTTGATAAACCTTGGCAGCCTTAAAATAGGAAGGGGTCATCTGATCCCAATTTCCTCTCCCCACGTGAATAAGTGTCACTGTGAGATCCAAACAAAAGAGAAGAAACCATGCTGTTTTTTTTCTTGTTTGTTTATTTTGCCAACTATAAGTCCTTGCCTCTCAACTTCTTGCACAAAACCTTTCCTGCATCATAATTTTGATCCAACAGATCAAAAGTGATTGTGAACAGCCTCACTGAGCTCCTTCATGCCTTCCCTCCTGGCTTTCTGGATCAAGGTTTAAGTAGCACAAATGAGGGCGGCCCTGAAGAACTGGGGAATCTCAAAAGAGCCTCTGCAAACTCATTCAGGGTGCTGAGTGCCAAAGAAGCCGCTGAGGAAAAAAGCTACAAACACACACTAGTGAGCCTTAAAGGATGCTAAAGGAAAAAGAAAGGGAATCCTGCAGCATTAACCTAAAATATAACTTTGATGCCTTTCACTGCAGAAAGGAGACTCTCATTCCATTGTTAAATGACATCCGTAAGAATTTGTACATAGCACAGCACTCGCTGTTGGTAAGGCTGATCTGCTCTGACTTCTGCTGTGCTGCATTAGACAGAAAATCATAGAATATCCCGAGTTGGGTAGGACCTGTAGGGATTACTCTGTCCAACTGCTGACTCCACGCAGGACCCCTACTGATAAACCACTATCAACAACCAAACCTCTGCAGTGGCCAGAGCTGGAGAACCCAATCCTGCTGATGACTGCTGTGCCAAGAGGAGCTAAAGAGAGCTTCAAATTCCTAAAGACCCAATCTACATTTTTCTTTGGCTTCTAACAAGCAAACATCTAGATACCAACCTCTCTGCCTCTGACACAGGGTTCACTCCAGCTGTTACCTGCATGAAGTCCCCCTGTTAAGAAGGACAAGAGATGACGACTTTAAGTTGTGCCAGGGACACTCAGATTGAATATTAGGAAAAAATTCTTCTCAGAAAGAGTGATAATGCAGTGGCACAGGCTGCCCAGGAAGGTGGTGGGGTCACTGTCCCTGGAGGTGCTCCAGAACCATGGAGATGTGGCACTGAGGGACGTGGTCAGCAGGAATGATGAAGGTGGGATGATGGTTGGACATGGGAATCTTAGAGGTCTTTTCCAACCTTAATGATTCTGTGATCCAAAATGCTCAGCTCTAGTTTTTGACTCAGTGACACTGCAGTCAGACCCTGGACTCAGTAAGTTTCTTAAGCGAGACAAGCAGTTGTTGAACCTTCAGAGCCATTTGTTCTGTGCCTAGGATATCTTGTGTCTTAAAATTGCTCTGCTGATCCCTGCAATCAAATAGCTTAGATTATGGTGGGGTAAGTGAGTTGCAGAATGTTTGTACAACCTGAACAGATTTCATCTGAGCACTAATCAGTAGTCCCTGCCTTCTCATGCTCCAGGAGGTGCCTGTCAGAACTCACCCTACAATAAGCTCTGCTCCAGCAAAGGTTTAAATCAAGTTGTAAGGTTAAATCTGCGTATCTACTGACATGGGGGAAGGTCTGGCTCATCTGATTACCAGACATTCATGAGTGGTGATAACACTGCTTTCAAGTGAAGTTTGGAGCTTACTGCTCCTCTTGGATACAGTGAGAATGGAGAACTGGTTCAGCTTGGCTTTACTTTCGCTTGGAGTATGGCCACTAGCAGGAGCCTATCAGTTTCTGAAGTTATGTCACAACTGTAATTTGCCATTCAAGCTGTGTTGATGTTGGAGTTCAGTGGTGCTGAATGGTAAGGTGCACAGTTTGAATTCTGGGATTATGGTTGTAATTTCAATATCTGGGTTAGGAAGTGATATGACCTCATAGAACTCCAGCCTTATATATATGCTCATATTCTAGTTTCTGACAGAGACATACAATTTAATTAGCTCATAACTGCTCCTCTTTCAGCTGTGGTTTCTTGCGGTTTGATGTGAAATCAGCAAATCAGGTTTCAGCTATTGTTCAATGTACTAATATACTAAATACACTAAAACAAAATGACAACACAGCATGTTGCACAGTTATGCTGTGACTGTGGTACCCTACAATCAAGTTCCAATTTATCTGCAATCATAAAAATCTACTGAGAATAATGAGCAATAAATGTCACATGCTATTGACCTACTGCATATATCTGATTTCTGTATGTATTCTCCCACTTTGTTTTTTAAATGATTAGACTAATTTGACTTTGGAGAAGAGGTGACATTGCCATTCACAGTAAATGATACTTGGGCGTTACTCAGGCAGAGTTATCTGAAACTGTTTCTTTGTTCCTTTACATTCTTGATTACAGTAGATCCATATGTTTATATTAGCTTCTGCATGCTAAACTTGTCCAATTTTTATGCTGATGATTTCTTTGCATCAGCAGAAAAATTTGTAATTGTTTACAACTTTTAATAGGCTAGATACAGAAATCTGTATGCATGTTTCCAGAGAATTGTCCCATACCCAAATAGGGAACCATAGTAATTAAGTTTCTGTCAATTCTAGTTGTTTGCTTTTTTTCTGGAGACAGCCAGTAGTTGTGCCACTAGCCTTGGCATTGAGTGTCAGCTTCTGGTGTTATAGAGCTAGATCTTTATTTAAATGAATTACACTGAAGTCTGCAAGTCTTTGACTTTATAGAGCTTAAACCAACCAGTAAATTAATGAATTTGTACTGTCTCAGAATTTGTATACCCCCAAGATCTTTGGAGGCACCTTCTCAGTTCATGTTAGCAGATAATACAGAATTAGACTTTTATAGTTTGTTTGTTTTTTTTTAACCTACTTTGAACAAGGAAACCGGAAGATAACAGTAGTCAACCATTACACTTTTTGCACTCTCTAAATGAGAAGCAAATAATGTATTAAATTCAGGTGGTACTAGTTACAAAGCCTAAATGTTCTTCCACTAAGTAACAAATTACAGTTCTCTTTTCTGTACAGCTGTTAGACCCATAGAAGCAAAGGTCAGAATGACACTGCTTTAGAAATGGAAATACTCAACAAAGCATAGCTAAAATTTCAATCCTCAGGGAACCCTGTTCAGGAATTAAATCTTTATTCTAAGACTTAAGATATTTGTTTAACTTATCATATCCAGCTAACAGTGGTTCATGTCTCAGTTCTGTAAATTGAGC